AAACTTAAAATGGGCACAAAACGGATACGAACCACCAACGTTGAGATTAACAGGCTTGTGTCTTCACCACTGGTCTATCAACGCTTAGGAGAAAGGAAAAGCTAAAGGAAAACAAAAAGCGCTCATATTGTGCTCACATGCACGTTCGACGGTATTTGTTTTTTTTTTGTCCATGCCGGTGAAGTAAAAGTGAAAGGTGAAGGTAAAAGATGCGATAGGATTTGTTCAAAGAGATTACTGTCGGTTTCTTTTCGTCAATGACGAAGGATGTATGGAAATAATGGTTTTTGTACGGCGATAATTTATTTTTGGTTTTCGACAAACGTCACTGACCAAACTGACCGTTACCTACTCTGGTCGCAACTACTGGTGATATCCGTTTCCTCTACTCTATCGCCTGAGAGTAGCAAGGATGAACCCAAGAATGACAATGAAAGATACAACTGGTCAGTTGCTTATCGATAAAAGCAGCTATTCGAACATTCGATGCATGCATACAAAATCATGGGCTTCCCTTAGCTCAGGCGGTAAATTCGCAGCTATAAGCCAAGACCATGCTTGAGGTGACTGGGTTCGATTCCCGAACCGGTCTAGGAATGTTTCGGTTGACAACTTTCTCGACTTCCCTGGGCATATAGTATGATTGTACTCACACCACAATCAATCTAATGCAAAAATGGTACAGCTCTACATTAACAACTGTGGAAGTGCATCTAGAACAATAAGTTTTGAGGGCCGGCGTAAAGTTCCAGTAAGGGACGTAACAAAAAGCCAAAAGCAAAGACATAAAATCACGGCCTCCCTGTTCCAATTTTTATACTGAGTTTTAGAACCGCTGGGGGGGGGGGATTGAAAACTGTGACGAGCCATAAAAAATAAGGTCTATACAAAAAATGTGACAAAAAGGGGGGGGGGGGGGGGGGGGTTGAAAATGGGACAAATTTGCGTGACATAATTAATGGCTCTTCCCTAACATGATGATAAAAATAATATATGTTATTTAATATTGTTCGTTTCATTACGTGTGCCGATTATTTTCGGTTAACTGATTTTGTGTGTGTGTGTGTGTGTGTGTGTGTGTGTGTGTGTGTGTGTGTGTGTGTGTGTGTGTGTGTGTGTGTGTGTGTGTGTGTGTGTGTGTGTGTGTGTGTGTGTGTGTGTGTGTGTGTGTGTGTGTGTGTGTGTGTTAAACCCAACAAGGCTCCATCTCCATGCCTCGATTGCATATCAGCAGAAACCGGGATGGGACGCCAAGAATTTGCCGGCCGACTGGATGCAGGACGTCTTAGTGAAGGTCCCAAAGAAGAAGAACCTGACTGTATGCGATATGTTTTCCGTGCTGAGCACCAATGCTACCGACGCCAGGGAGGCAGGCAGCTTCCACACCTAAACCCTACCTATCGACCCATCAATGAGCCGGGGATCAACGGCTTTACTTCCCTTCCGAAGGAAGGCGTGATCAGAGATGTTATGCCTCAGAACATCCCGGCGGCGCCGACTGGGATTGAACCCAGGCCTGCTGGGGTGACAGATAATCACGCTTACCACTACACCACGGGCGCCGCTATGCGAACATTTTCGGGGCATCACGAATCAGCTACAGGAGAAGATCGACGCGACTTTTCAGGTGCAGCAGGAAGGATTCCTTGTCGGAAGATTTTGTGTGGACCATATTGTCACGCTCCGTATCAGCCTGGAGCAGGTCAACAAACAGTCCATGTAATCCCGCATAAAACTAGCCATAAGAAGCACCTAACCAATATATTCGGGTTATCATCCCAACTTTATGTGGAATGTTCGCAGCTATGATATCATGTGTGTAAGGTGATTCTGTGACACTACCCCGAATGTCACTACCCCGAACGCCATAACCCCGAACGGTACACTACCCCGAACGCTGTTACCCCGAATAGTACACTACCCCGAATGACCATTACCCCGAATGGCCACTACCCCGAATTGATTTCCAAAAGCTGTAAATAATGAATTCTTTGGATATACGATAAAGAAGGGAATATTTCCTTCTTTGAATATATAAAAGAGAACATCATTAATTCGTTAAATATATGATAAAGAAGGGAATATTCCCTTCTTTGAAAATATAATAAAATGAAATAATTAATTCTTTGGATATACGATAAAGAAGGGAATATTCCCTTCTTTTAATATATAAGGAAAATATATAATCAATAGTTTTTCGCAAGGGATTCGGGATAATGGCCATTTGGGATAATAACGTGTGGAATAATGTTATAAATTTGTAATCGGTAGTTCAACGTTCCATGCACCGATTTTTTAATCCAGCACGAGAAATTCTTCGATAAGGTTTAACAGTTTCCGACTGGTTGAATTGGATTGCATGATATAAAATGGTTTGGAAATGATAAATACATAGTTCCATAAAAGTAAACGTAGTGTATCATCAATAGTAAAGTGAAACTAATCAGAGAATTTTGTCATGAAAAATATAGTAAATCATATGGGTAAAATTTATCGAGAAAATTGGTATTCAGAAGATGTATTATTCAGTGTGCAAGATACTTGCGGACCTGTTTATTTATGGACGCCTGTTCTGTAATATAAAACTGAAATATGATATCAAATGACCAACAAAAAAAAATGATAAATTACTAATTTCATCATCTTTTCTGGGGGATGGTACATTCTGGGGAATGTTATAGAATCTAATAATTTATTTTATAAGAACTTAGCGAGTGTCATTGTGAAAAATACAAAATACAGCATTGGAAGGGTTCGCGAATTTTCACGATGTTCACCTAGGAAAAAGCTCGCGAATCCTAGTGAACTTTTGCATCACTGATTTACAGAAATCAATTTTAAATTTTTATTTTTATCATTTGTATTCAGTTGAAACTACAAAAGAAAATTTTCTTCTTATAAATTTATCGCATGCTGTTCTTCCATTTGTCTTTATTTCGGGGTTATGGCCATTCGGGGTAGTAGGGTATTCGGGGTAGTAGGAAATTCAGGGTAGTGGCATTCGGGGTTATGGCGTTCGGGGTAGTGACATTCGGGGTAGTGTCACAGAATCGTGTAAGGTACCTGTTTATAATGGTTGGCTCTATGACTATGAACAAGCTTTTGGCCGACTCAATCACGAGAATCTGTGGGGCGCCCTGAGTCGTAAAAGAGTCTCGGATAAAAGCAATCGACAACCTAATCGAAGCGCAGTACGAACTATTAGGTTTTGCACCGTCGGGGTTAACCTCAATCTGATGACAGTTCAGTGGTACTGTTTACGTGGACTTAGTCGATTTTTTCTTGGGTGGATTTTCTCGATAATTTTTCAGACTGCAGTGAGATGTAAACAGCATTTCTGCAATGTTCACGAGCAACATCCTTGCAACGCGCTGTTCCTCGACAATTTTCAAGTTAAAATTCAGAAATTTTAGAAATTTTTTTTCGAAAAAACGACTAAGTGCTTGTAAACAGTACCACTGAACTGTCAAAAAGGTTCAGCCGATTAACACTGAGTTCATTTATGACGTCACGCTGCAGTACCTAATTGACTAACCCCGAATATCTATATGCAATCTTCACACTGCCGTACTCTAACGGAACTATCAACTCTATGCTTTCATCTACTCCATCCATCGTATAAAAATTACCACTACAGTCTGTTATTTGAAATTAGCATCTTCAACTATGTAAATCGTTGACTTCACGTAGAAGTAATACTAAAACATATAGTCAAAAAAAAAACAAAAACCTTCTGGGAAGTAAAGGGTTGAGTAGGTAGGCAAAAAATGAAGAAAGTCGAAAGTTTGCAATATCTCGGCAGCCAGGTAGTGTCCGATGGCAAAACCAAGAGCGACATAGGTGCACAAATTAAGAAGACTAGGGGCACTAGGGCTGCTTTTGCGAAGTTACGAAATATTTGGATATCAAATCAGGTGACACCAAAATCCGGCTGCCATTTTTAACTGAGATCTGTTCTGTTATACGCGTATCAGCAGAGACCACTCAAAAGCTGCAGCAGGTCTTCATTATACCACGTCCAGACTACAGAGTTATAACATGTTATAATATGTATTTACAAGGAAAATGTCATCAAGATAGGCTATAGCATGTTGTAATTGCTCAGTCTGGCCAGCGTTTTAACCGATATCTGCGGTATACAATTCGTGCCTGGTGGCCTCGTGCATGCTAAGTTTCATCGTCAATGTCAACAGAAATTCGTGAACGTTAGCAGTAGTGGATCGGCCACACACTACGAAGGAGCAGAAAATAAATTTGCAAGCAAACACTTGCGGAGCCTCAACAATGAAATCCAGCAAGTCGATACGAATCTCAAATCAAGCCGAAACAAGCGGTCGATTAGGATCGAAATATTTTACGGTGGTCCAATACACCACTGGAGGTGTTCAAGAAATTGTAACATTCAATGGATTTGATACACCGCGTGGCCTTTCGGTTTTTCCGAAAAGGACCTTTGTCGAAAGTTTCAGCCGGTCCTTGATTTTCGATATGAAACCACGCCAAATGAAAGGTTGCAGTTTTATTCCCCATAAGGGTCTAGTAAACTTTGAACAAAAAGCAGAACGCGTCGTTTGCTACAGCAAAGGCCGCGTGAAATTTTGAAGAAATACCCCAATACATAAGACGTAATGCCTGTAATAAAAACATTTAACAATAACCCAAGGTGCATTTACATTAGAAACGAGAAACCAGGGTTCCGATAGAATATAGCACTTACAATGTACACATTTGTTGATTCCTATGCGTATTAGTTCGTCGCTCACTTTATTTATGTTATGCACTTTACAATATGGAACGAAACGACGTTCCCGACGACAGCAAATAAACACAGATAAAACATATTGTCGCGCAAATATTCATGTTTGCGTCGAAATAGTTGCCACTGTTTCGAATCTTCGGCATCCATTGAACTATCTTGTCTTAGTACCTCGGTACTGACGTTAGCTTTGTATGAAGGTTTTTTTTTATCACTTGAAAAACAAAAGATGTGTATTACTTACGTGTAGAGCTGCATGTAACGAGCGGGGCTTAGGCTATGCTCCTGTTTGTAGACCTGCTTTATACCACCTTCCAAGTCGGCCCATATCTGCAAATACGCAAAATAGCACAGGTAGAGGACGGCCCCATTAAATTGCGATACAATGCTCAGCTAATGTAAAAAAATAATTACGAAACCTTTTCGCTCGATTGCGAAAACACCTATCATCTTTTAGCAATGACCTACCTCTTCCAGGTTGATGTTCCGTAAACCCGTCGCTCCATGAGAGTTTAATTTAGACATCGGAGAACCAGATGAACTGTTTCTTGAAGTTTTTTTGTGTAGAATTCCTGTAAAAAGTTCACAAACCACAAGAAAAACTAGTTAATAGGAAGGAAGAGCCGAGCGAACCAGGCAGTGACTGGTTTTTCCTTTTTCTCTTTTCGTCAGCTCTCGCCAACAACATGGATGATGCAGAAACCAGAAACGTCAAACACAAATCAAAAATGTATTTTCGTTCACTGTCTGCCTGCCCTGAAATCTGCATCATGCACAATGATGCCAGAAGTTGAGATTTGAATATCATTTAAAACTTCAAATTAAGTAACAAAAATAACATAGTTCAAAGCATGCTTCCTTGACCTGATTTATTATTCTGTAACTGACAGGTTTTCGTTATGCTATCAATAAATTACAAATTACAAAGCAACATGACATAAACAATATGTTTTAGCAACTTATATTGATGGTTGCATCTAAAACTGGGTTCCTCAAAAAATGCAAATTTACGTCAAATCGTTTTCTAGCTTCAAAGGAATAAGTGCACCGACGACAGCAGAACGATTTGATATCATCGTGCACGTTTATCACACTTTTAATAAGTTAAAACACGGTTAGATCTCCAGATTCGTGAGAAATGCGCAATCCATCCACGCATACACAGCAAAAAAAGTTGTTGAATATTACATCGAAACTGCTGCAACCAGGTCAATCCATCGGTTGTGTAAAATCATATTGTACGATGTACATCGATTTTGCGAACAAAATTACATCCATTGATGTAATATTGTATCTGCGTTTTGCTATAACATCATTATTTCATACATCAGCTTGAATTACGTTGATCGATATTACATTTTTTTTTGCTGTGTACGTTCTCTTCGTCACAAATTTTATCTGGATTCACTATATTCTGCTCAGTAACTTTTCAAAACAAAAGCTCTGGCAGCACTATTTTGCTCACACAGCAAGTGTAAATGAGAGAAACGAGCAAGCGAGAGAGTGGCACTTCTTTTGTTTCAAAACCAATCTATTCCTCTTCCTGCTGAAGAAAAAAAAATACCTAGTGTAAAAATCGATGCACCAAACTTACTTTTCAAGCACTTGGTTTCAAACAAAAATACGTAAAATCACTAGAAAAATGTTTCAACTTCACGCAAAACACTACAAATGATACAAAATTGGCTCTTTGTCGATTCAAAAAGCAGAAAACTAATGCAATTTTTTTCCTCCTCCCTAGCACTTTTGTGGAGAGTAGTAGACAGAGCTACCCTTTGAGAAATAATCTCTTCCTCTATCTTTTCTTGGCAGTAGCAGCGACAGGGAGAGACAGAGAAAACAACACTCGGGTCTATTCGCATAATCGTGTATGTAAAAACGAGAAAGCGATATTGAAGGAAGAACGAATGAGAAATTATTGCCAGATGAAAAGGTTAGACCAGTTCAAAACTGTTATTTTTTGCTTCAGAGACACTCCGTCGGTGTCAAAACAAATCAGAGTTGCCAAATCGTTATCAAAATCGTTATCGAAAACGTATCTTGGTTTTACAATAAAAATTTGAACAACTACCAGATAAGGCTGCTGAATAGATTGCTAACTGGTCACGACTGGTCAAAAGTTTGGAAGGCTAAAATGAAGCTAATTGACGACGAAAATTGTGAAACTTGTGATGAGCCTGAAAATGGTGAGCATATTGGCAAATCAAAGTTGGCACTCGTGGAGAATAGAAGAACTATGAGAGTGATGATGGTTTCAAAATTTTACACGGTGAGGTATACGAGTGCAATCTTAAAAAGCTTTTATTTTGGAAATGGAACATTTTATTTAAATCTGGTTGATGCTATGTTAGTAGAAAACTTAAGGACTACTCAATAGACAAATAATACAGAAAAATTAATTTATTTTCAGATTTTTAGGTGTACACATAGATTTCAGTGCCAACATTTCAAAGGGGCGTAATTGCATTTGTAAACAATGGCTTTAGCCGTCGATTTCTCGCGAATAAAAGCTCACTCATGAAAAATAATGACACTAGAAGGTAGAGGAATGTTTCCTCTACCAGCTAGAATTGTAATTTTGGAGAGGTAAGATTTCATTCGCGAGAAATTGATGGCTAAAGTCATTGTTTACAAAAGCAATTACGCCCCTTTGAAATGTTGGCACTGATTTGAGCTTTTCTACCACTGTAGCAGCAACCAGATTTAAATAAAATGTTCCATTTGCAAAATAAAAGCATTTTAAGATTGCATTCGTATACTTCCCCGTGGAAAATTTTGAAACCATCATCACTGTTATAGTTCTTCTATTCTCCACGAGTGCCAACTTTGATTTGCCAATTGTGTTGCACTGTTGTAGATTTGGACGAATACGAGCAAAATATTCATTCGATAATAGATTCCGTACTTTAATTGAATTATTCAACAGCAGAGATTAGAATTTTTACGTCGAAGTTTGCACCTTTCTAGGAGAAATTAAAATGGACATTTAGTCGATTTTTCTTTTTTTTTTCTTAACAATTTTTTGATTCGATTTTGAAACGTCGGTGACTCCAGGGGTGTGTACACTGCAACTGCCATGTACCCATTAATGGGTAAAAAAGGACCCATTTTTGATGACTATATGAGGCTGTCAAATAATGGGTGAAGTTCAATTTCAAATAATGGGTACTCTTTTACCCATTTCTCAGAGCGCTTCGGGCGAGAATAATGAGTACTTTTTTACTCATTAATGGGTGAAAAGCAACTTAGATAACATCTTCCAGTCCTCGCTTCAGTCGCAAAGTGTCTTAACGATGTCGAATGGAAATTGCTCGTTTGAAAAGTAGGTATTTCTTATTTTATTTCTTTCTGCCCACATCTAAAAATCAATCTGAAACTTGCAGGCACAGAACTAGCCGGATCAGCAAGGAGATCCCAGGAGAGCTTTGGGAGCACCATTTGTTGCACGAACGATGGAAAGACCACTGGATGGAAAATGGTGAAATAAAGATATAAATATAAATAACGTTTTGTATTCTTAACTATTCATTGTGGCTCTTTCAATGATCCATAAATCATACAAATTCTAAAAGAAAAATCCTGGTTTAAGGATTTCAAAATTGGGTACTTTGTACCCATTTTATAAAGCCAATTATTATTTAAAAATGGGTAAAAAAGTACCCCATGATTTGACGTACAAGGTCTTTACCCATTAGTGGGTAAAGACGTTTTACCCATTAAATGAGTTTACCTACTTTACTTCGAAATGGGCACTTTTTCACCCATTAATGGGTACTTTCCAGTTACAGTGACGGTTCGTTTGGAGACTACTGGGTAATCCGAACACTAACGACACCTGTCTTTTGGAGCTAAATACCCATGCGTGAACCAAATACGCTACGAAGAGATAAATCAATAGGGCTTTATTGGCAAATCAAAGTTGGCACTCGTGGAGAATAGAAGAACTATGAAAGTGATGATGGTTTCAAAATTTTACACGGTGAGGTATACGGGTGCAATCTTAAAATGCTTGTATTTGGCAAATGGAGCATTTTATTTAAATCTGGTAAGTGGTACGTTAGTAGAAAACTTAAGGACTACTCAATAGACATATAATACAGAAAAAATAATTTCTTTTCCGATTTGTATGTGTATACATAGATTTCAGCTTTTCTACAACTGTAGCAGCAACCAGATTTAAATAAAACGCTCCATTTGCGAAATAAAAGCATTTTAAGATTGCACTCGTATACCTCCCCGTGGAAAATATTGAAACCATCATCACTCTCATAGTTCTTCTATTCTCCACGAGTGCCAACTTTGATTTGCCAATAGTCGTTGTCACTTTGCCCTTTCCCAGGAGCTGTCAAATGATAGCTCAAATAGAGAAGAAGAAGAAGAAGTTATCAAAATTTTCAATATAGCTCTCTCCAGGCGGGTTCGTATTGGTGCGATTTGCGTGCGTTAGTGAGATGAAATTTTTTGTTTGCTGTAAGAACTGTCATTCTAAAGAAAAAATAAACAACAAAACGAAAATAAACCCTACGCTTGCACGCTAACAGTGAAGTACCCTTTTGTGAGTAAAGGTTAACCCATTTTTGATAAAGGTGGCTTTACTCATTAATGAGTAAATTATTTTAACAACAATGAGTTTCTGCTAACAGTAGCTAACAGTTACTACTTAATTGGCATAATGAATTACTCATTAATTAGTGGTGCCGCTTTTATTGACAATGGGTTCACTTTTACTCATAAATGGACGTTTGATTCTTACCGTGCACATGACAGTATACGCTAGTGTGTGTAAAATTATGTTATTAGTGTAGTGTTCGTGAGATCCTGCTTGGAGAACTCAATTGCCAATTCAGGCATAACATTTGATACGGCACAAAAGCATTTGTAAACAATCTTTCTAACCAGCATAAACGCGAACCATAACTTGACCTTACCGATAATAATTATAAATTGTTTATAATCCCTCCTAAACTTTAACTGAAATGATTATGGAACTTTACATGCACTCAAAAATATTACAAAACGATATAGATTAAATTTTATGCATTTTATGGTTTTACAAAATTTATACATTGGTTCGATTAAAATTTTCATCAAAATTATACTAAGTCCGAATAACGGAGTGGAATTCGATCAGTGTTTACTAAAATGACAGGAAAAAGGATATCTGGATTCTCTTCGGAGCTTCGTGCTGGTGAAGAGCTTCGTCCCACCGGATTTCTACTGCGCCTATGATCTGCTGGGCAGCTAGACTGCGTGAGCACGAGTTCATCATAATGAACATCGAAATTGTAAGTATCGTTTTAAATGCTGTTCATAAAAAATAAAGTTATTATTATTATTGATGAGACAATTTTTATTTTTATTTGAAAACAATAATATACCCTATATATAAATAAAATAAAGAAGCGAAAAATACATTCTCTCGAATAAACCGTATCTATGCATTGTAAGTATATTTCCATTTTATACTATGGAACGCATAAACCATTTTTATACTAAGTTTGCATTCTCCTCCTTTATACCGACCTTTGCGTCGGTACGGAGAGTTGCGATTTAGCGTAACTTTTATACTATTTAGATTTCAATATTTTTTGAGTGTGAACGTTTGTGTGATAAAGTTTTAACCTTATGTATTATTGTTTTTTGAAAGCGGACCTCACAAATAATGGGTTGTTAAGAACCATTACCATTCAAAATTCTTGTTTT